AACCGTTAGGTTTATGGCCTTTTACAGAATCTAAGTCATCTTCATGCCTCACTTCCCCATATCCATCACCACCACTTTTATACTTCTCCTGATCACTCTGAAGTTCTCTTCTTCCTCTATCCCTATCTTGATCTTTACGTCTCTCTCTTTCATTCTCCCTCCCAGTCATCTCTCTACTACTATACGTGGCATTATCAGTTTCGGACCTTTCAAAGTTGCCCCGAGTTTCTTTGAAATTGCCACCGTTAGGATTATGGCTCTTTATAGAATCTGAGCTTCTTATCTCTAAGTCATCTTCTGCATCATGTATTGAGTGTTTGTGCCTCACTTCATCAAGACTTTTATGCTTCTCCGGATCACTCTGGAGTTCTCTTCTTCCTCTATCTCTATCCCTATCCCTCCGTCTCTCTCTTTCATTCTCCCTTCCAGTCTCTCTACTACTAGACCTAGCTTTATCTCTACTCCTCCTACTACTTCTGTAGTGGTCTCTATTGCTATCTCTATCAATGCTTCCCCTCTTCGAAATCTCCCCTTCCTCCATCTCAAGTTCACCACCGTCCCCTAAAGACATAGAAACATTCTCTTCATCAAGATGATGACTGTGTCGATGCTTGTGATCATGATGGTGCTTGTGATGATGGTGTTTTTGCCGCTTCGAAGATTTAACGACTTCTTCGGACGGCGAATACGACCGGCGGTGTTTGCGGTGGTTTGATTCTACCATCTTATCTCTCACCATCAGATCGTCGGGAAAAGAGAAACAATCGCAAAATTAGGGTTAGGGTTCGATTTCTCGCGCGCTCTTTCTTCCCTCACTCTCTTTTAATTTGTGTATCCGTCAATTAAAAATCGTCACATTTATATGGAAAACTAGTAAACTACAGTCAGGGCAAATTAAAATCAGAATCGTCTATTTTAAAATCCATAATGATACGAAAGAAAGGGCCCAGGCCCATGAAGAATAATGATTAAAAGGATAGAGCCGTAGTAAATCGTGTCCGTTCATTCAAAACGTTTCCGATGGATGGATGACACGTCATCGATCCGCGTAAAGCTCAGGTAAACCAATGAAAGCCAGCACAAGCCTATATATAAACAAATCTCTTCGGGTGAACGACCTGTGTCCCCCCCGTAAGTTTCATATAGTACCATAACAACACAGATTTCGGGTCTCGTCTCCAGTCCACACAAAACGAAAGTTAAACTCCAGTTTCCCCCTAAATCGAAAGTTCTAGACCTCAGTCTCCAAAATTTCAAATTTCGTGGTTTATCTTCGGTTTACTGTGCCGGTCACACCATTAACCGCTTAACATCGAAATTAAACCGAAATTACCCAGAAACCAATCCGATTATTAGACCCATTACACCCGATATTCCCCAAATCAAACCCTAGAACCCTAAAAACGAAAAATCCCCAAATTGAACCTTAGAACCCTAGAATCAAAAAATCCCCAAATTGATGGATTCGAATGAGCTTGATACGAATGCTCTCGTCGTTCATGCGGAGGCTACTGGAGTTGGTCCGCAAGAGGAAGGAGATCCAGGAGGCAATGGACCTGATAATGTACCCGATGATGAAGACCCAAGGGAGCGAGATGCTTTTGAAATCGAGAAGGCTGTAATGGAGTTTAGAGACGAACCTTCGATTCTACATGATGAGTATCCAGACAGTGAGGAAGACGAAGAAGACGAAGCTGCTCGGGAGAGAAAACGAGACAACATTAGAGGCGGAGGTGGGAATTTGTACTATCACCAGACATTCTTCAGTGCCATTGCTTTTAAAGAAGCTGTTCTCGACCATGCTTTGAAGACAGGCTGCAACATCGCACAATACAGGTATGATAAAACGAAGCTTGGATTTAAATGTGATGGGGATGGATGTATATGGCGGATATACTGTGCAATCACGAAGAAATGTTCTAAGTGGAGAGTTAACGTGTACAAGGATGTCCACACATGTAATCCGAATGGAGATTGTGAGATGTTGAAGGTTCCTGTTATTGCTAGGTTGTTTCTATATAGTATTAGAGATGAACCCGACTATTTTCTTCCTATGAAAATTGAAGAAACCATTAAAAGGAAATGGAAGATCACAGTTTCCAGGCCTCAATGTCAAGCTGCAAGGAGAAAAGCATTGAGATGGATAGAAGAGGAAAATGATAATCAGTTTGCTAGGCTTCAAGAATATGCTGAAGAGATAAGAGACTCCAACAAATATTCAACTGTTGAAGTGCAGACTGTGACAAATGATGCAGGACAAGAGGTATTTAATAGGTTCTATGTCTGTTTTAATGCGATTAAGAGAACATGGAAAGAGACTTGTAGGCCATTGATTGGAGTGGATGGAACTTTTATCAAAGGAAAGGTTAAAGGTCAGCTGCTGGTTGCTTTAGGTAGAGACGCTGATAATGCTATATACCCAATAGCATGGGGGTGTGTTCAAGTAGAAAACATAGAGAATTGGGTGTGGTTTGTGAGGAAGCTGAAAGATGATTTGGGACTAATGGATGGTGATGGTTACATCATAGTGTCTGATCGTCAAAAGGTAATAAGCTTCAGATTTCTTCACATTTAAGCATTTATTATTTCTGTTTCATGACATAATAAGCTTCTGATTTCTTTATTTTACAGGGTTTGATCCGAGCAGTTGAGCTAGAGCTACCAAAAGTAGAGCATAGAATGTGTGTGAGACACATCTATGGTAATCTGAAGAAGAATCATGGAAAAGATAAAGAGATGAAGAAGTACATTTGGGATGTGGCATGGAGCTACAATGAGAGCAGCTTTGAAGCTCACATGACTGAGCTTTACAACCACAATGCGGCAGTTTGGCGTGATGTTGTCAAGTCAAAACCAAGAACTTGGTGCAGGGCATTCTACAAGCAAGGAAACTACTGTGAAGATGTAGAGAATAATTCAACCGAGTCCTTCAACAACTCCATTGTAGAGGCTAGAGACAAAGCATTTGTGCCAATGCTGGAGACCATTAGGAGACTTGCAATGGTCAGAATCTTCAAGAGATCTGTGGAATCTAGTGACCATAATGGGAGATGCACGCCATATGTTGGTAAGTTTCTTGCCAAGGAACACAAGAAAGCTTCAGAGATGAATATAAGAAGAAGCACCAATGACATGTATGAAGCTACCAGAGGATTAGATACTCATAGGATAAGCTTGACTGATAGGACTTGTACTTGTCAAAAATGGCAAGTTTGTGGCATTCCTTGTGAGCATGCTTATGGAGTCATCTTAGAGAAGAAGCTTGAGGTTGAGGACTATGTGTGTCACTGGTTTCGGACAGCTATGTGGCAGAAGAACTACAAGGACGGCCTATTTCCACAGAGAGGACCTGCTTTTTGGCCATCAACAGCTCATCCTAATATGCATGTACCACCACCACCACCTACACCTGGGAGGAAGAAAGGAAAAGAGAGTAAAAAGGACAAAAAGAGGAAGAAGGGAAAGAATGAGTCACCTACAAAGAAAGCATCTAAGCAGATGAAAAAGATAATGCACTGTGGTGTTTGTCATGCAGCTGGTCACAACTCCAGGTTTCATAAGAAGAAGAAGTCTTCTGCATTGGTAAGTATGATTATTTATTGGTTCAGTTGGTCACAATAGGTTACTAACATGTTTTGCTTCATGATTTGTCTTAGGCCTTTGAAGGAGTTGAGACTGCAACTCATGGCAGTCAAGTGGAACCGTCTCAAGGAGTGGTGATGTCTCAAGGCTGAAGGATTAGAGTGAAGGATTAAAGTAGTGTTAGATGGCAGTAGGTTTTTTGGTTTACCATCTGATTAGGATTAGAGTACAACGGCTTTGTATTTTTGGTTTCATTACCATGGCTTTAACTTTTTGGTTTCATTACAACGGCTTTGTGTTTTTGGTTGCATGACCATGTGTAATGGTACATTGTTGTCTCTGTCTTTTGGATGATTGGTACATTGGTAAAGCATTGAACCAATTTATGCTATTTCTGTCTCAGTGTTTTGCTATTTGTCTCTGTTTTAGGAAATAATAACATTACATAGGTCACAAGAAGTACACATAACAAGCACAAGAACCAAATTTCATGTTTCATTAGACATTACAACAACAAGAACAAAACAAAACAAGAAGCACAAACAAAGACCAACAACAACAAGCCAATACACTCGTTTCAGCCTATCACATTACTCAAACCAAGCATGATCATACACCCTACGATGACAGCAATCGACATTTTCTTCATGCTTGATTTGGATTCCAACAGTTCTGCTTCTACCCTCTCAAAAATCTCTTTCTCTAGCTTCATTTGCATCCTCTCAAAAATCATCTTCTGGTGATCCATAGTCTCTGATGTAATCTAGGACATGGTTTGTTCAAGTGCAGTCGTTCTTACACTCAATCTCTCTATCTCATCTAACAAAGCTTCGTCAACCCACTTGAAAGTGTGGTTATCATCGATAAGCTACAGAGACCAGAGAATTAAAGTCAAAATTCGTAAGAAACAACCCAAATATCAATCACATTACCTTATGTGATGCAGCATAAGCACAACGATAGTAACGGCGGTATGGATTGGCGGCGGATTTGGAGATGATCGCCGAGATACTTGCTCCACACCAACACATCTTCGGCACACCCACAACTCTTCTTCTCTGTCCCACATTTGATGCTCCACTCGTAGCTCTGGATGAATTGCTCATATTCAAGCTTAGACTTCAAATCTCTGATGTTGTTGAAATCTCTGATGTTGAAGAGAAAAATCAAAATTAGGGTTCTTCTCAATTTGAGGATTCTTGAAATAAGTATTTATTTCGGGTTGTGGTAACTCGAATCGGGTTCAAAATCGGTTTATTATTCTGGGTTTTGGTTTGGCATCGGGTTCGGCACAGTAAACCAAAGATAAACCAAGAAATTTGAAATTTTAGAGACTAAGGTCTGAACTTTCGATTTAGGGGGAAACTGGAGTTTAACTTTCGTTTTGTGTGGACTGAAGACGAGACCCGAAATCTGTGTTGTTATGGTACTATATGAAACTTACTGGGGGAGACGGGTCGTTCACCCAGAAGAAATCGAAGAAGAACATCGAGACGTACAAGATCTACATCTTCAAGGTTTTGAAGCAAGTTCATCCAGATATCGGAATCTCTGGGAAAGCGATGGGAATCATGAACAGTTTCATCAACGACATCTTCGAGAAACTCGCTCAGGAATCATCGCGATTGGCTAGGTACAACAAGAAGCCGACGATCACTTCTCGGGAAATTCAGACGGCGGTGAGGCTTGTGTTGCCTGGAGAACTCTCGAAACACGCTGTTTCTGAAGGCACTAAGGCGGTTACAAAATTCACCTCTTAGGGTTTATATCTCTTAATTCTCGTTCGAATTGGTTTAGTTTTATCTCTTTCTTCTAGAATTGTGGTGGTAAATCTGTGATTAGTGAGATCTTTGAATGAATAGGTTTCTTCATAAGAATTGGGAATTTGAACAGATTCAGAAATAAATAAGCCTCAATTGCTCAATTTTCTTTGAAATATCTCTGGAAGAATGTGATTCGTTGACTGCTAAACAATCGTAGTTGAAATTTCGATCTTTTTTTGTTCTGTACACATTTGTATGTTAAAAGGAATATAATTTAATATTGAGATACGTGATCGATATATTCTTCCATTTCTGAGATTTTTTGCCTTTTTTCCTATCCATACACTTTTGGTTCTTTCACGATTCCACTAATTTGGTGGGAAGATAAAAGCTTGTGATCTTCCGGGTGCTTGATTTGCATGACATGAGGTATTAATTTAGGACTTTATTGTCTGAAGACTAAAGCTCTGTTCAAAGTGTCTGATCTCTGGCTATTTCTTAAGCTCAAGGAAATTTCGACCTTAAAACTAAGAGATAATGAAACATAACAATGTCAACATGCTGCATTCAGTAATTACCTTCTTCATTGGGGCTAAGTCAAGGAGCTCTTTAACTGAAGAAACCATACCATGGACACTAAGCTTTGGAACGGCCAACCCGAAATCAAGGTAGACCTTAAGAAACAAAAAGATTGAAAAGAAAATAAGGTAACGACAAGGCATAATCTTACAGATAATTGAAACCTGAGAATAAGCTGAAGACAGAAAGGATGCTTCCTTTAAGAATGGATAAGATGCATGAAGAAGAACGATACGACACTTTGCAAATCTTTTGTCCTCAAGAAGGGTTCTACGGTGAAGAGGATTTGACAACCTCAAATCCAAGTCCCTTTCACCAAAACTGGCTCAAACAAATAAAGAACTAGAGTTTTTTCATCATCTCAAACCAAAGAGTTTCTGACTCTTTGTATAGCACAGAACAAATTCTCAAAAGATCATAGCTTAGAAGCATTGAAAAAACTTCAGATATGCCTTACAACATCAGTGCAAAAACACATGGTTACCAGATAACTCACGGTAGTCGTCTACCAGCCATTCCAGCACGTGCTTCGAATAGTGAAGGACTAATCAGTTGTTAAGAGACACGATAAATCTCTATCATTATACTTGATAAAAAAATGAGTCTAAATGCCAATTTATCTAGTCACTGCATCCAGCATGTTACCTCTGTGTCGCAGCACCTACATAGTACATACTATTCCACTTCCTTGCTTGTAACCGTGCAGTAGTTTCTGCGAGAAAAACAATAGTCAGCAAAACCAGTCAAACTTAAATTTGCAAAAAGAATAAACAGAATTAATCAATTAAGCACCTGTGATTTCACAAAGTAAGCCAATTCAGTCCCATCCGGTAGCCCATTTGGCAAAAACAGCAACCGGTGTAAATTATTATACCTACAAAGATATGATTGCAATTTGTTGTGACCAGCCGTGGGATCTCATTTAGAGAATGAATGTGAACAAGGATACCCAAAAGAATGAGGTTCACAAAAGCAATACAAACCTCTTCCATTTACCGCCTCCAGAAACTTTCTTATGGCAACCAATACCAAACATATGAGAGGTAAGCCTACAGTATTAACGACCAAGTATAAACGAATTGTCAGTAGGAAATACTCGAGTAATCAATATCTAAGCAAGAAAATTTGAGGACCGTACTTCTTTTCTTTTGGCTTATGTTTTGTGTCGTCGTGTGTCCTTTCTACAGATTTTCTCTCTAATATCATTGTTCTCTGGAAAACATGGGAGTATTGAGCTTTGACGGTGATTTCTAATCATGTTATTGCTGACAATCGATGATTGATGATTGATGTTAAGGTTTTAAGTAAGAAAACACGTTACAACTGGGCCTATTTGAGACCCATAATAATAATAAACAAAATGCTAGGCCCATGAATAAGAGTATTAAAGACGTTACACGTGTATAGTTGTGATTGGTCCCGAGTAAGGTGGCCACGTCTTTGTTGACCTTTCTTTTGCATTCTCTGCCTTAATATAAAAAAAAAAACCTGGTTTGATCCATTTTGCCTTGTCTCAGATTAGCTTTGTAATAATATCTAGCTGGGTTTCCTGTAATTTCTCGTTCGGATTCTTGTTACCATGATTCGGCTATAGTGTTTGTGCCTCTGATTGATTGTCCCAAGCATCGTTCTTTACTTATTTTTAGAGATAGCTCTGAGATCTGTCTCTGCGATTCGTCGGATTTTATTAGGGTTTTTTTTTTTTGTTTTGGATTTCTTCTTCTAGGGTATCGAAGAGGATAGAGAAAATGCGGGTGTCCTCAGAGATACTCCTTCTTTCTTTGGTTCCGGCGTTGACTTTTTATCATTCTGGTTTGAGTTCTAATCGTTTGAAACCTCTTCAAAAGAGTGATTGGCGTGGTAATCTTAGTTAAACAAAGTTTCCCTCTTCCTACAATTTCTCTGTTTTTCAAGTTTCTCTTCGGTTTCGTTTGTTCTCACGCATTTTCTATCTCGAAGAAGAACAAGCTTTTGATCTCGTTCTTCGGACATTTTAGTCAGTAACCAATCTTTTGACATTTCGGCTGCTCGATTTGCCACGCTAGAGGTAATTTGGCTATATGATGATTTTCTTGGCTAAAGTGTGGTTTGATCTTAATTTCTCTTACTGATGATGGTATTTGAATTTCTGTTCGTTTGCAGTTACTTTTGGATATGAGCTCTGTCTGTGGTGGGTTGGATTTCAAAGATGCAGAGTTTCACCTTGAGAGCAGCTCTGCTTCCAGTCCCAATATATGTTCTAATGGCTCATCAAAGCATATCTCTTGTGTTGGATCTGATGATGCTCAAGAGTCTGATGGTGATGATAGTGGTTATATACAACAATATGTGATTGAAGATTCCAAAGACAAGGCGATCTGCGAACCCATCCTTGAGTCTTTACCTCTTGAATCTTTGGATGATGAAACTGAAGACAAGAACCTTGCATCCGCATTGCAAGACATGTTCTCTGAAAGTGTAAGTGACCCTATATTACTCATGACATCCGCTATCTTTTTTTAGTTTTGTCCTTTGTCCTGTTTTGCATAAGGTGTGGTGCGAGACTAACCGTATAATTATACATTATATTGCTCATGTATAAGTTTCTGTGTGTGGTCATAGATATACTTGAACTTAGAGATTTCTTGTAGCTTTATGCTTGTGTTCGTGGCTGTTTCCATCATATGTCGGTAGTTGCTTACAACATCTAGATTCAACCCTATAGTCTTTAGTGGTAGATGTCCAAGAATGCTTTGGAATCAGGTTACAAAGCTTCCCTGGCCAAAGCAAGAACAAAACTTAGGTTTTATGATCCATGAAAGAGTACAATTCCTAAATTTTGGCTGTGTGATATATATATCTCAATGGTTGAAGCTTATAAAACATCTTTTCTGTTTCTGATATATGTAGTAGAGAAATGCTGTGTTTATGCTGGCTGCTTCTGATTCTTGCTGTTCTTTGGCAATTCAACTACAGATGAGTGTGGTTACTCTGATTCCTGCCATTAAAGGTGGTCGAGAGAAGCATGGCAAGTCACTCGAGAAGCTGAGAGTGTCATGGGCTGAAGATGTGTATGATCCGCCACCTTCCATTGTCTCTCACACAAGAAGCAAGAAACAGCAACCGCAGAAATCAAAGAGCAAAGACAACCTGAAGAAGAATGGAAAGAAAGGACAAAAGGGAAGCAGCCATTCCCGTGGCAGCAAAGACAAGAAGCAGATTTCTTCTCGCAGCAGCAGCAAATACAGTCGTGATAAGTTTGATTGGGCAACACAAATGTCTGTTCTAGCTGCGTCTTCTTGAATCTGTGTAGCATCACCAAGGCACTTGCGTCTTCCTTACTCTTTTCTCTCTCACTCTCTCTTGTTTATAAATAAAAAGATTTGGTGTGAAAACTTTTCTTGAGTTTCAGAACGATTGTTGTTATTCGTACGGAATTGATTTTGATTTTACACCCAACTATTATTGTGAAGCTTTTTCCTCTCGACATTTTATTTTTATGTATAATATAGCTGATAATTTGCGAAAAGTTGATGCCTCTATTTTAGTAGAGGAGATTGGATGGTAGTCCGTAGATTTCAACTCTCAAGTCTGATGAAAAGCGTGCACAGAAATAAAATTTCAGTTTGAGCAAAACCCTTGCATGCACAGCACAGGAACAAACAACATTAGTATTATATATGCTTAAGACTTTATTATATTTGCTTCTTCTTTTTAGTTCTTCCCTTTACAAAATATCTCCACTAGGTCTCACCTCCCCTCTCCTGTGTCAAGCCTAAATTCTAATATTCTCTTTGTTAAGAGCTTGTACAAAAAATAACAGAGGTACACAAGAAATGACCCTTCTGCAAAAAGAAAACAAAGAGTGGGTTTCTAAAGGAGCGAGAAAGCAAAAAAAGGAAAGATCCCAAGTCCCAAAATCCGGATGAAGCTTCAAAAAAACTTCCATGAAAGATGAAATCAGATGAGTGAAGTTGATTCTGAAAACCTCGGTACTTTCTTCTCGAGCATCGATGTTCCTTTGAATATTGTAAGTTGCACTTCTCTCTGGTACTTCTGTAACTGTAAACACAAACACCATTGTTAATCCTCTTTTAACCAGACTGCGCAAACCATTAAAGATTTGCCAGGAAAAATGTCCCTGGCCAAACTTTACGTACTTGATGTTCAGTCATCTTTGTGAAGCCAAATTTCTTTGTCCAGATAGACTCAGCTTCTTCAGCTGCTGGGAGAAGCAAGTTCTCGACATTCAGAGAGGAAAGAAGATTCTCAACGCAAGCAAACAGCCCTTGAAAGTAGCCCTAAAGAACCATTAAACAAATTGGTTTTGTCACGAGTTATAAGTAAGCGAATCCGCCACAGTAAAGAAACATGGGATGTACAAAACCTTACCCTTCCCTGATACTCTCGGCTTGTAGCTACAATAGGAAGTTCTGCAACCTTCTGACCAAATATCCTAAGCAGCGCGGCAGAAACAACAAGGGAACTAAATATGCAGCAAAAACAAAAGAAAATAACAATTAGGGAGATTGAGAGATGGTAAAAGAAAAATACAGAAAGAAAGATAAATGCATCAAGAACACCAAACATACTTCACCATCAAGACCAAGCAGTACATTCCTCCAAACTCCTGGCCTGATATATTTCTCCTGTAAATATGTTGGAAGAATTACCGGGATGATCAATTACTATAAACATATGAATGAACAAGGAACTTGAATCTGGGTTTATCACAGTACAGCTTACCCATAGACCATGACAGGAATGAGATCACGACCAGACTTTGCCACAATGGGATCAAAACACTCCTGAAAAGTAAACTCATTCGCTATACATGTGTTTATAAAATAAATTTACAAGCCAGATGATACTCAAAATGATTTGAGCACATTTATAAGTCGGGGCATACCCTGAAAATAGTAGCTGCTCGTGAAAGTAAGGGTAGATGCTCTGCGTATCGACTTTTTCCACTAAGCATCCTCCATTCCACATTATCTCCATTGTCAATACATATTCCTTTTTCTCTGTACTTTCTGCTTATCGTGTCTAACAAAACCGTGGGAATAGTTTGTGGCCCACACGAAGCAGAGCTTTGAAGAGCCGTGTGAATCCTGCTGCAGTCACTACAGCAGAACCATTTATCTTGGGGGATACCCTACAGCATTCAGGAAAGAAGTTGAGACAGGTTCAATGAACATGTGAACACAGACCACCAATATTACAGGACTTACTTTCAAATCGCAAAGATCATTTTCCCTGAGACAACCGACGTGATACTCTTTCTCACACTTCAAGAGCAAAGAGAGAAATGACCATTAGACAAGACAGACATTGTTAAAGAAAATCTTGAATAAGAAACCAGAAACAACAATACCTGGTCACAGAGAATAACTGTCCTATCATCAAATTTCCCAATGCTAAAATCAAGTGACCTATCAGAAATGGGAGAGAAGCAATAAGCAGAGTGGAGTACGCGTATATGCGCACTCAAACTAAAAATAGCTATAGAACCAACCTGCAGAACACACAACCACCAATTTCGCTTTCTGGTGCTTTAACAACTCTTGTCAGTCTTATAACTATGGATTTTAAATTGGGATCAGTAGCAGTGGCTGTTTTACAAGAGGTAGGTCCATCATTGCAGCTTGAACAGTACCAAGTACCTTCAGGCATTGATTGAAATTTCAAGCATGCTGCATATGAAAAGGTTCACAGAGTATTAGAACTGGAGAACAACCTTAGAGCTGATACCAAAGCAATGTTGATTTTGCAAATCATCTTTAAAAATTTACTTCAGAACTTAAATGGAAAGAGGCATTTATCAGTAATTCCTTTTTCATTATGCTTCTGAAAATTTTCTTGAAATATGTGCTTAAAAGATTAATTTGTAGATTTACAATAGTAGAATGAACGAGCAAGTCTACTATCCTTTAGCAGTAACTTATACCCACCTGTATGAAATGCTTGAGGACATCCAGCACAGAGTAGCAAATCTCCACCATCGCCACAAATAGAACACATGTCATCACTGTCACCAGTTGTAATGACATGGCCCCCATCCGCCAATGACATGGCTATATCATGCAATGACAATCCAGAAGATATGTGGATATGACGATAACTGCAACAGAATCAGAAACTTCAGATATGTCTTACAACATTAGTGCAAAAACACATCTTAACTAGGTAACTCACGGTTGTCGTCTACCAGCCATTCCAGCATGTGCTTCGAATTGTGAAGGACTAATCTGTGGTTAAGAAACACGATAAATATCTGTCATTCTACTTGGAAAAAAAAATGAGCCTAAAGGCCAATTTACAGATTCACTGCATCCAGCACATTACCTCTGTGTCGCAGCAGCTACATACTATACCACTTCCTTGCTTGTAACCCTGCAGTAGTTTCTGCGAGAAAAACAAGTGTCGGCAAAACCAGACAAACTTAAATTTGCAACAAGAATAAACAGAATAATTCAATTAAGCCAACGGTAACAGACCTGTGATTTCACAAAGTAAGCCAATTCAGTCCCATCTGGTAGCCCATTTGGCAAAAACAGCAACCGGTGTAAATCATTGTCCCTGTAAAGATATGATTGCAATTTGTTGTCATCACCCATGGGATTGCATATAGAGAATGAATCTGAACAAAGTTACTCAAATAATGAGGTTCACAACATCATTACAAACCTCTTCCATTTACCGCCTCCGGCAGCTTTCTTATGGCAACCCATACCAAACATATGAGAGGTAACCCTACAGTATTAACAACCACGTAAATTTCCTTTGTTCCGTAAACAAATTGTCAATAGGTAAACTCGAGAAATCAATAATATCTAAGCAAGAAAATTTGAGGACCGTACTTCTTTGCTTTTGGCTTATGTTCGTGTCGTGTGTCCTTTGTACTGATTTTCTTTCTAAAATAATTGTTCTCCGGAAAATATGGAGTAGAGCTTTGACTCTCATCAATAGACCAACCAGAACCAGGATAACTGCAACTTTCACAACAGTAACTTAGACCATGTCAACCTTCTTATAAAATAAACAACTAGATAATAAAGGATCCAAGTGTCGCAGAACGTCATCTTCAATTACAAATCTTTGGAGATTTCAGATCAAGTAACAACACAAGTAGGAGGTCAAAGTACCTAACAAGGGATTGAAACGAATAATCCATGATATGGTTGCTATCATCTTGCTGGAAACTTTCTGAAGAACAGAATAGCAAGTCAGCTATGTCCATCAGAAAGTAAAAGAATACACATTAAAATCCAGGGAAAGTACTTTTAAAATGCTGGGAGATTTCTAAGCAAACAATGCAGACTAAATCCACCAAGCAACTAAGATACCTTTCCAAGCCTGAAATCCCTCCTCGCTCAGAGCAGAACCAGCCACTTTCCTTATCACCTCCTCCAAAACGTCAGGGGGAGCAACCCTCAGCTCTTGAATCATGTTATAAACCGGCCGTCCGTTCTCCAGATATATGTGATTATTAGGGTGTTTTGTTTTTCCACCAGCATGCCGCTCGAACTCATAGGCACCTAGAACCTTCCCACAAAACGAAATATGACATAGTTAAAAATTGAGAAATTGCACTTCACACAAGAAAACTATGAAAAATCGTGAGGAACAAACTTACTTTCGAGAAATCGCAGACAGTACAGCCACACAAATACCCACCCGAGTGGATTATCCCTTGAAGCTCTCTCTAATGACCATAAAAGTAATATAATAACAGATGTCACCTATAATTTATCGGTAACAGAATGAGAATATCCAAACTCATAGCAGGAGAAACCACAACGAACTTACCGCAGGTGAGATTGAAAGGTACTTCACCCGAGCACCATCGAGGATCCCCGTCGCCAATAGCTTCTTCACATTAGATGGAAAGTTGGTAGAGTCAATCTTGTCCAACATTTTCACACCTAAAGTTGAAGAAGCTACATTCGAAGGAGAACCCTCCCAAGTATGCTCTTGAATCATAGGCAAATCACAGACATCCTCATTTCGTTTACTGAGCTTAAACGTGATTTTCGTTATCCCAGTAGTGCTAAGATGTTTTGGAATCTCCCGTACAAAACTTGACGGTACAGCATCACTCGATTGCGAGCTATCAGCTAGCGATGAACAGTATTCACTGCGTTTCTCATCACTAGTAGCCTCATAGGAACCAGAACAAGACCCAACACGATCACCAGAACTCGATTTAGCCGGATTACTAGTGATATCACGAAAACTAGAGGCGTTATCCACCACTGGAGACGCAACAGGGTTAGATATTTCCGACCTAATGTCATCATTTGAAGGTTCCTTGGCTTGTCTCTTGTTGGAGGAATAAAGCTCTTCTTCTAGATTATCTTGTTCAATACAAAGACGGTCTCTCTTCTTCGTTTCCGAATTCTCTTCCGCCATTTCTCCTTTCAGTAGCATCTCCAAAGAAACTGTTCCTTCTCCCATTGTAAAATTTCACAACTTCACATAATGGCATTCAAACAATCAACACTTGTACTGTAACTGAGATTATCTCTGAAACTGGTAAGGCTTTGAAACAATTCCAACTCCAAGTTTGGGGTACTCTGATATTGCGAATACGATCCGTAAAACATGTATGTTGGTCTCAATCCAAATCGGAGAAGAAACTGTCTGGTGATTGATTTAGGGATTTTTTTTTTTTTCTGAAATCCGAATGGAGAAAAAGGTATCGATTTAGTAACCCTAAAAATTCACATATGTAGATGATTAAAGTCGAAATATTCACAGTAAGAAGAAAACGGAGGTGGAAACCGACCCTAAGCTCGACGAGAATCGAAAGTTGGGAAGAAATTTTTGTGGATCTAAGATCTGCAGAAAACGATTAGAAGAATCGATTTCGAAGCAAATCCGAAGAAGGTAAGAGAGAGGAACCCAAGGGTAACGAATTAGGGTTAGGGTTTTCGGAAGTGTGATAAGAGAGGGAAAAGAGAAAGAAGAGGGAACGTGTTACGCGGCAACGAACCAGAAGGAACAAAAGCTTTATTTAGATAGCGGTCCATATTTAACTTTTAAATGTGAGAGACAGAGAGATAAGACCAAGGACACTAGTTTTTTTTCTACATCGACATAACTATTTTTTTTTAAGCTGACAAAAAATTAAGACAAATATTATTGGTAATGATAAAATAAAACTTTCCTAATTTAAATATACTTATACCAAATTATGAATATCGAATTAATAGCTTTTAACAGATTTGGATGGATAATATTACAGATTTTTAAAATAATTTGTTGGTAATAACTGAAAAATTATTTAGCGGGAAAAATGAAATTTTATTTCTAGTGTTAGTGGCTTACAAACGTGTTCCGTTGAATTTATTGAGGTAACGAGTTCGATTCTCTCTTTCACACCTCCTTTAAATATATATATATATATATCTTAAACTTACTAAATAATTGTCCTAAATTTTTTTTTTTTTATTTTGCTTTCAGCTTTCAAAATTAAAGGATCGGCTCTGTTTAAAATTTTATGTAATAGTCAAATTTCTATTCATATTTTTTAATGTAAGTTGAGATAATACTATGTTTTCACCCCGGATAGTCGGATAGAGGTAGCATCAATGTACCATGTCCATATAATTTTCTTTTGGTAAGAGAGTTTAGATAACACTAACTAGGAATATGTAGACAAAGTACTAGCAAATTCATTTTAGATTGATTTTTCTTTAATATAAAGGATGATACTGTTAAATTTGGGTTAATTATGGGCTTCCAACTAAAAACCAATTGGCAATTAGTGGATTGGTCCTAACCCTTTATATATTATTGGTTGTCCCATCAAACTTCCGATGTGGGACTTGGATTGTATCTCCAACAATCTCCCCTTCAATCCAAGGACCATATGGATCTAACACGCCTCATCGATCCCTCACTCGAATCGATAATAAGCCTCTTTCTCGGACCCCCATTACTCGGGTTTGAGGTATGTCCGTATCCACTTTTCTAGGTCCACCAAAATTTGAACCTTGGGCTCTGATACCATATTAAATTTGGGCTAATTCTGGGCTTCTAACTAAAAACCAATTGGCAATTAGTGGATTGGCCCTAACCTTTTATATATTATTGGTTGTCCCATCAAACTTCCGATGTGGGACTTGGATTGTATCTCCAACAGATACTTCTTCTCTTTTTCTGGCTGGAATCATGTTGATTAGTTGGGAGAGAGGTATAAAGGAAATAGATAACAGAATGTTTCAATGAAAACAAGTTCATATCTGGTATAGCTATGAAGACCAAAGGTACAAGTTCTATGTAGATTAATGTATAATGGTTTTCATTTAATAATGAACCTTCTTAAATGCATAATTATTGATGATAGTAAATACTACTAGAGATATCATAGAAGGAAGAATCCCATATGGTAGATATGATGATCTCTCAACGGTCAAGGCGAATCTAGATTCAGACTCAAGATTATGAAGATAGTGAGTGCTTGTGACAGAAATTCGAAGCTCTATTGAAACGAAAACAATAAAATCCACAGAGATGTTACAAGAGGGAGCAAAAGAGATTAAACCTAAGAAAGAAATTTAAAGCCTGATATAGTCAATCAAGTTTGGATGGCCAAAGAGAGGGATAAGGACAAATGTGGCACTTTATCTATACGGGTAAAACAGAGTTAAGGTGGTATAAGTCGAAAGGAATTTTTGTTTCTATGGTTCTTACATTTGTTAACACGATAAATTATTGTCCATATGTTTGATATTAGTTTTTTACCCAAATAGCGAAAATAGGTACAAAGCATCAAGATCAAATAGAAATCCATAACCATAAAGCTTAAGCTTAGCTTTAAAGACCTATAATGAGAAATACTGATGTTAAACATCAACGCTTACAATTATAACAATAATGAGAATGGTCCCTCGATGGAGTTCCACAGTTGTAGCAAAAAGCCAACCCACACCTACAAAATGTGTTAAAAAAGATTAAAAAAGGAAAAAGAAAACCTTTGTTTCAAAATTTTACATCACAGACAATAAGAAGAAGAAGATACATATACCTGCACTTCATGTATAAGCAACCATGAGACTTCTCAATATAGAATTTGCAAGAAGGACATCTTTTCCATTTCTTTTTCTTTGCCATCGTCGCAAGCAAAATATCATCTCTTCCTCTTTCGTTCTCCGCTAGCTTCTGAAACTCCTCGCAAGTCATCTCCGGATGCCACTTAGTCCCACACTCTACACACACCATTCTATGGCAATGAGGACACTCTGAGTCTTTCATTACTTCACTCTCGTCCATGAAAAGCAAAGCAGAGCAATCCTTGTAAGGACAATAGAATCTCTTCGAACGCATCACTACTGCTTCACACAAAGCATCACCCCACCGATCAAAAACCTCTCTTGGCAAGATTTGACGACACTGATCTGGCTCGAGCCGACCAGAGCAACCAGAGACAGGACACTCGATTGAGAGGATGTTGTCTTGTAATTTAGCTGCTATATATTTCGAGACACAATCGTTGCAGTAGAAGTGAGAGCATCCACCGATACGAAACGTTTCAATTATGGATTTGGTTTCAACACATATCTCACAGTCGAAAGTAACCGTCGCTGACGAAGAAGACTGACCCTTTTCTAAAGATTTGGTGTGGATTGGTGGTGGGAAACAGAGGATTCTGATATCATCGTCTTCATCGTTGTATAGATCAAGATCTATGTAAATTGGAGATTCTGATTTGATTGCTCTGTTGTGAGGAGGGTAGACCCAGAGACGTTGAAGTTTGCGATCACGATCGTAATTCTCAACGGAAATGGCGTCACGCTTGGTAGAACCACGAGCGGATAGAGGAGTGGAGGAGAAAATGAAACAATCGGAATTATCGCCGTCGTCGTTTACATCTCCGGGAAGATCAACGATCACCGCGTTAACAGACTGTGTCGCCATTTCAAAATGATTCCAATTAGGTTTCGTCCACAATCAAAATTAGGGTTTATAAATCACTCTACTTTTTTGCTTGCATTGGATCACTTTCCATTTTCCAAAGCGTCTCACTTTTTGGCAAGTGTTAAAAAACCTAAATCGAATCTTTAATAATTTAACCGGTTCACATACGGACCGGTCGGTTATTAAAAAATCCAAATCCTTAAACCCTTTTGTTGCTTCATCTTCTGAAACTCTCTCATCATCTTCTCTGAAACTATGGCTTTCTCTTCGTGTCTCAAATTCTATCCATTTTCTATCTCTCAAGCTGTAACCCTAACTCACCATTCCTTCTCTCTCAAGCTAACTCCTCCTTCTTCTACCATCTCTTTCGCTTCTCCTAACTCAGCAGCTCTCTCCTCTTCCGATGTCAAGCTTCTCGACTCACTCCGTAGCCAGGCTGATGATTCCGCCGCACTTCGTCTCTTTAATCTGGCCTCTAAGAAGCCAAATTTCTCACCTGAACCTGCTCTTTACGAGGAGATTCTCCTCCGGTTGGGTCGGTCTGGTTCGTTTGATGATATGAGAAAGATTCTGGAAGATATGAAGAACTCAGGATGCGAAATGGGTACTTCTCCTTTCTTGATATTAATCGAGAGTTATGCTCAATTCGAATTGCAAGATGAGATTTTAGGTGTTGTTCATTGGATGATTGACGACTTCGGGTTAAAACCCGATACCCATTTTTATAACCGGATGCTGAATCTTCTCGTTGATGGGAATAATCTGAAACTTGTTGAGATTGCTCACGCGAAGATGAGTGTTTGGGGGATTAAACCAGATGTATCTACGTTTAATGTTTTGATTAAAGCTCTGTGTAGAGCTCATCAGCTTAGACCTGCGATTTTGATGTTGGAGGATATGCCTAGTTACGGTCTTGTTCCTGATGAGAAGACATTTACAACGATTATGCAAGGCTACATAGAAGAAGGTGACTTGGATGGAGCTTTGAGGATTAGGGAACAGATGGTTGAGTTTGGCTGTTCATGGTCTAATGTGAGTGTTAATGTTATTGTTCATGGTTTCTGCAAGGAAGGGAGAGTTGAAGACGCTCTCAATTTCATTCAGGAGATGTCTAATCAAGACGGGTTTTTCCCGGATCAGTATACTTTTAACACGTTAGTTAACGGTTTGTGTAAAGCAGGGCATGTGAAGCATGCTATTGAGATTATGGATGTGATGCTTCAGGAAGGGTATGATCCAGATGTGTATACATATAACTCTGTGATCTCGGGTTTGTGTAAACTTGGAGAGGTGAAAGAAGCAGTGGAGTTTCTTGATCAGATGATCACTAGAGATTGTTCTCCAAACACGGTTACTTATAACACTTTGATCAGCACATTATGCAAGGAGAATCAGGTTGAGGAAGCCACTGAGCTTGCCCGTGTTCTCACCAGCAAAGGGATTCTTCCTGACGTTTGTACATTTAACTCTCTGATACAAGGTTTGTGTTTGACTAGGAATCATCGGGTCGCGATGGAGCTGTTCGAAGAGATGAGGAGCAAAGGATGTGAGCCTGACGAGTTCACGTACAATATGCTGATTGATAGCTTATGCTCCAAAGGGAAGCTAGATGAAGCTCTAAACATGCTTAAACAAATGGAATTGAGTGGTTGTGCACGGAGTGTGATAACTTACAACACTTTGATTGATGGGTTTTGCAAAGCTAACAAGATTAGAGAAGCCGAAGAGATATTCGATGAAATGGAAGTACATGGAGTTTCAAGAAACTCCGTTACATACAACACACTCATCGATGGGCTTTGTAAAAGCAGGCGAGTAGAAGACGCGTCTCAGCTCATGGATCAAATGATTATGGAAGGACAGAAACCTGACAAGTTCACATATAACTCGCTTCTAACACATTTCTGCAGAGGAGGTGACATAAAGAAAGCTGCGGATATCGTGCAAGCCATGACCTCAAACGGGTGTGAACCAGACATTGTGACCTATGGAACCTTGATAAGCGGTTTGTGTAAAGCTGGTAGAGTTGAAGTTGCAAGTAAGCTTTTGAGGTCAATTCAGATGAAAGGGATTGCTTTGACACCGCATGCTTATAACCCGGTGATTCAAGGGTTGTTTAGAAAGAGGAAAACAACAGAAGCTATTAATTTGTTTAGAGAAATGCTTGAACAGAATGAAGCTGCACCAGATGCAGTATCTTACAGAATCGTTTTCCGTGGGCTATGTAATGGAGGTGGACCAATCCGTGAAGCAGTGGACTTTCTTGTTGAGCTGTTAGAGAAAGGGTTTGTGCCTGAGTTTTCTTCTTTGTACATGTTGGCTGAAGGTCTTCTCACTTTGTCAATGGAAGAGACACTAGTCAAGTTAGTTAACATGGTGATGCAGAAAGCTAGATTCTCGGAGGAAGAGGTTTCAATGGTGAAAGGTTTGCTTAAAATCAGGAAATTTCAGGACGCTTTGGCCACTCTTGGCGGTGTCTTGGACAGTCGTCAGCCGAGGAGAACTTACCGGTCAAGATGATACCTTTAGAAAAAAGTATCATTCCCAATTTCGTAGAAGATATGTATGATGTTATGAATATGATTTCTATAAGTTTTGAAGTAATTAATCCATATGATCTTATGTTTGACGACCAACATGCAGAAACAAAACGACAATCGACTGTTAGGTGTTCCTCATTCATTCGTTGGGTCATCCTCTCTCTTCCACTTCTAGTCTCTACGGTCTCTCTCGTCCTTACTGTTTGTATATGCAGGCTCCGATTGTTTTTGACATTGATGCAATACGACCAAGACAATGATTCAGGATGACGTGTTCTCCGGTTACCTTGACAGATTTCAGATTAACCCAGTCAAATCCTGTGGTCTATGGTCAGTCCACTATACATTTGCTTCAATAACTATCCTCGGTTGTAATTCCAACCACAAGCGTCGTGTTCTCAACCACCATATATATATACACATGCTTTATTGTTGGGGTCAGTGGGATACTAATAAAAAAGCATCTGGATTATCCACTAAAAATTGTGGATCTTTTTCTGGTATAAGTGCATATTTGTTCAATCAAGTAGATCAGTCCACGTATATCAGTAGATGACGGACGGTTTCGTCACTAGTAGATAAATTACCACTGCCACTTGTATTACTACTTCCACATCCACTAGTGGATTTTGTTATGGATCCAACCAAAACATTCTTTGAACCTGCTAAATCCTTTTACCCTTTATAGAAAAATGCCAAAATAGCATAATTTATGCGTTTCTAGAACCCACATTATCACGCTACCAACAAGTAAGACAATTTTGAGAAAAAGAATGTTCAGTTGTGATTACAGTTGGTGATAAATTCAAACTGTGAAAGACTAAAACCGAAAATCTTTAGCAAACAATCGGCTGTGGATCTTGTACAAATATGTTACTCCTTAACACATGAAGAAAAAATTATCAAGAAACTGCCAACTTATGAAGAAAAACGCAGACCTGTGGGTATGGATGAACATGGTTTTAAGATGAAGACCAATCTCATCTTCTATTCAGACCACGACGGTCCCGTCCTTAATTAATTATACACTTCTCACGGGGATTCTGAATCACCTATCCAAAGAAAGATGAATATAGTGTTACTGTGATATTAACTGTTAGAGCTACATGAGCTAAAGCTTGCTTACCCTTAGAGAAAACCTCCACCCGTCCAAGCGGAGTCTGATTTCTCGTTGTGACCAACAGATTTCTTATCGCCTGCACTTTGGTAATGACCATCAAAACCATCATCTTTGGCATCATGATCATCCCAACCAGTCCAGCCATCATCATCATTAGAAGCTGATGACCCCTTTGGAGCTGCTGCTTCTGTTTTCTTATTCTCATTCTCTCCCCAACTATCCCAAGAATTTGAATTCTGCGAATTGTTGTAATGACCACTTGATGATGATTGTGACCTTCCTCCCCCAACAGATGAATTCGCTGCTTTGTTCCCATTTCCAAAGTTCTGGTAGTAACCATTGCCCTCACTTTCACTCTGCTGATTCCAGCTTGTTGTTCCTTCTTTAGTGAACTCTTCTACCTTCTGTGTCGCCATTGCCATTACTCCTTTCATGATCCCCCATGTCCTATGTCCTATCTCTGTTGTCTTATTAGCAACTACATTTACAGTTTCACTCACCTTGTGATCATACCCACCTTCCTTCACCTGCAACAAAATGATAAGATCTGATTTTGACACCAGTTTTCCAAAACTCTATTGCCAGCAGTATTATGGTAAACAAGAAATGTACAGAGAGCATCCAAGAATTGTGTTTTCTACAGAGTTATAAAGAATCTCACTAGAGGTGTGGTAGATGCATTATGGTTGAAAAAAAAAATCAGCCTCGAGAATCAATTTTTGCGAATAGGTAACACTGTGAAGCTAGAAAGAACACTAAATTTGTCGCATAACTATGTCGAAAATGGGATAACAGGCGAGTACATGAGTTATTAAGCAACACAGCAACTAGATATTTCACAAACTCTATGCAAATCAAGCAGAGACTAGACTACAGATAGTTACCTTGGATGTGAACTCCTTGGTTCCTGTTTGAACAACACTTGCAGCTGATTGAGCTGCAGATGCGGCCACCAGAGACAGTCTTCCAAAACCCTAAGCAATTTTAAGAACGAATCAACACACAAAACGTAATTCACTCAATTCAAAAGGGAATTGAAAATCATTCAATTCACCTGAGAAACAACTGAGAAAACATCATCCTGTTGATTACTTCTCGGTGGTGGAGCCGAGCTTGATCCGAATCCTACATACTTACCGCCTTGCGAAGGAGGAAGACCTTCAGGCTTAGACTCATTCTCCGCCATTCTCCTCGCGAAGAAACTCTCTTTCCCCGCAGCAGAAGCCTCCAGCTCGGATCGCGTGTAGATATCCGACGACGACTTTGACTTCACATGTGCACCTCCTCTAGTTCCTGATGCCCTAAAATCATTCGCTGATTGATTCCGTCTCATATCAGTTGAAGATTTGTAAGAATCATCGTTATCCCAACTATCCCATCCTCCATTGTTGTTGTTGTTGTTGTTTCCATAACCGCCCTGAGCCAACGGAGGCTTCTTATTCATCCCCAAACCTCCTCCTATCGCTTCCTTAACAACTGGCGGATCATTCCATGGCCTACCTTCAGCTAAAGCTTGGATCCGGTCACGATACACAGAAGCAGCGTTCGAATTGTACTTTGAAATGATATCAGTCTCTTTAGCGATTCCGTATTGCGCGAAGAATTTGTTGAGCCGTTCGTTTCCTCCAGCTTCCATTTTCTTGATCTGGATCTCAGACCACGAATCCATGGTTACGGATCTGACGAATGAGATGTGAACGCCTAAGCCTCGGTGTTTCCCGGAGCATTCCAAACACATGAAGATTCCGTAAGAAACCGACGCCCATTGAGGATTCTTTTGAGCGCAGTCGACACATACCTTGTTTTCAGGCTGAGATTGGAGAGTGCGTAATTGTCTCGCCGCCGCCATGTTTCTCGGAGCTCTGATCACCAATCAATCCAACCTGAAGCAGATCTGATCCAAATCTCGCAGACTTGTGCTGCTCAGATTGATGCGTTGTTTTTTTTATAACGTTTTTTCTCTTCTTCCTAATAATCTTCGAGTAACTCGTTTTCTTTTTTTTTTTGGTATGTGTCTCTGGCACGTGAGAGGCTCTCTAGCACGTGTTTTTAATTGGCCCAAATGATTTTTGTATTAGTCCAAATATGCACTTAGAAGTTGAATTTCGTCATAATCCAATCACTAGATATCCTAAAAAATGCCGACAAAAAAAAAAAGATATCCTAAAAAATTTATAATAATACTGTATTTAATAACTAAAAATCTTTAAAATATTTTCAAGTAATTTTTTTAGTAGACGGTGGTTTTTTTTTTTTTTGTGTGTTCATTTCAGACAATATTGTGTGTGTTTCTGTCAAATTATGTTCCAGCAGCTCAACTGTTGTTTTCATTTTTGAAAAACTAAACATAGTCACTACACTTTCATATACATGTATATACTACATTTTATGTATTATTCCATAACCCCGAAAGATAACTTAGCTTCTAAGATGGAAAAAAAAAATAAAAAAATTAACTTCATAAACATTGGGTCTAAATGGTAACCGAAGAATCTGACTGAATCCGGCTGAATTTTTACATTTTCAAATGGTAACCGCTGAATCTAGCTGAATTTTTTTGTGATTTTTAGTAGTATCTATCACAATAATTAAAACTTTAACTGAAACATATCGTCAAATACTTATGAATATTAATAGAATAATTAAAAAATATCTAAATAAACTAGAAATATAAAATTATCCAATGGTCTAATTAACTATTATACTACTAAATAAATACTAAATTATCTAAAATTAATACTAATATAAATAATATATTGGTTAGCAAAATTGAGTTATTCTTTCATATTTAATTTTTGAACTATGAAAAATATGTAAATAATTAATGAAAAGCTTTGTAAAGCATTATTGAAAACTTGATTTCAAAAATTAACATGATAATAAAATATAAATTATCTAATTATTTTTTTTATTGTTTTCTAGTATTTTAATCAATAATATGATCAGGCTGACTAAGAAAATTATTAATTTTTTTTTGATATTTTAAGTAATATTTTAGTATGAGTTACGTTGTTTTGTGAAGTTTTTAAATTTTATTTTAAATTATCTAAAAATTATTAAAATTATCAAAAATTATCTATAGTTATCCGAACATGAATTCGTCTCTTTTCTATTCTGGTAGTGATATATTATGCATCTAAATTATCCATATATCGTATATGTATAATTTAACTTATTTTAAAATATAAATTTATTGTATAATTTTTGATATCCAAAATATTTTAATTCAATTTAAGTACTCGTTATTATCCGAATTTTTACAAGAAATGAATATATATACGTATCTGTTGGTGTTGAAAAAACTGCTGAATCTGGCTGAATTCAGCTGAATTTAGTTTTATGCAAATGGTGACTGCGGAATTGCTGAATCTTGCTGAATCCGGCTGAATGTTTTTATTATGTTACCATTTGGAGCCATTAATTAGTCTTACAGTAAGAAAAAAAAATTATTACATTTTTGTCCAATGAAAAGCGAATTTCTCGGGTAGACCAGGTTGGTACTTTCCATTTATTCCATTGAGTCTACCAATGAATTCGCGTGACTCACCACAATCAGGAATTGTGACTGCTGTGTTTGCAGGAATCCGAGCATAATATTCCACTTTAGGCGACGAGCCTTGTTCCAAGTAGCAACTCCACTCTGTCTAATTTCGATCAGATTTAGCCTCACCGAAACTAATACGTAATGGAGTACCTTTGAATCTCACATTTTGGACAACTAGACGGTTTTTGTTAGAAGCGCAAGTGATTCTAAGCATGCGAGCAGCAACCTCATTTCTAAATATTATTGTGTTATTTTTACAAGTTTCGATTAACCCAAACTACAAAGTTATAGTTAACAAAAAATCTATGAAATGATTCATTGTTTTTAATCTAAAAAAATACCTCGGACTGATATGAATCTAAAAACACTTAAGTGTAGTTATTTGTAGTTTAATTTTTTTTTTCTTTGGTAATGCTAATTTTTAGTGTATTTATAAAATAGCAATTCTTTTAAGGCCATGCAAAAATTAGAACACAAATGTGAATCAATTAAGCTCGTGCTTCAGAACATTTAGTGCCAAAAAGTTAGGCTAACCATTTAGATTAAACCAAATCAATTATATGACTTTCAAACTAAAACTCGTAACTGAATTATTCTAACAAATAGAAATTGAGTCGCGCATATTCAATATGATAATGCATTCTAATTTGCGTATATGTTTCCTTTAGTTTTAAAGGTTTTGCATTCTTTTGTTGATAAACGGCATTTTTGTTTCTTTAGTTTGGTTTCGTTCATGAATAATTGAGTGAAATATAAGTCGACAGTTGTAATCTCTTAAATTTGATGTATATTATATATAAAAAAAAATGTACAACTAAACTTTTTTAAAAATTTATGGATCATATTGATCGCATATGGTGATAAATATTTGTATAGCGACATAAGATACCATACAATAATTATTCACATTTTAATACATTACTATCATTTACATACTAGTCTACATCTCAACAAGATGCCCAATCATGGTTATTTATATGTAGACGCTGATCTATCTATATATTGTAGATAAACTACATCTTCAACTAACCACTTAGCTTTAACCATGCATTAAGCCAAAGTTTAAGCTACTACATCAATTTATTTATTGTTATCATACATTTGTGTCTCCGTTAATAATACTTAGAGAAGACTCACTAACAATTTTGGAAACGGTAATATCCTCTACATGAGCTTTGTTATGTTGTTGAACCACAAGGATTGATGGGATGATGTGGTTGATCGAAGAGGCGAGCACGTCCCCTATAGGACCTAACTCGGGATGTTCGGCCTGATGGTCAGCTAATGCCGCAACCTCAGCCGACGGTATCCTCCCCCTTCCAACCACTATAAGGTCAAAGTCTTTACTTTGTCCTATTGACAGTATTTCTTCAATGATGTTGTTTGGTTCCTTTTCTTTGTACTCCACCATTTCTTTCCATTTGCTCTTAAAGTCTTCCAATGCCCCTTCGTCTAATTCCTATAATTGATATTTCAAGAAAGAAAAAAAAATAGTTATATTTGTCATAACTGGTATATAAATATAGGGGATCGAAAGAGATTTACCTTTTCTTTTTCTGGATCCACGTTGGTTGTCAAAAAGGCATAGTTCTTCTCCTTGCCTTTAGAAGGTGCCGGTCGTAAGGTAACGACGTTACTCCTCAACGTTTCTCTCACCAAGAACCTAATAACGGTAACTTTAACGGCCGGATGCTCCGCCATCCTCCCGCCGAGCTCTAAAGCCTCACGATCATCAGGCCCACCAAAGAAAATCACACAAACCCTTTCAACCACATTTGACCCATCTAGGCTCGAAGTTTTGGCCTCAATGGATCCAAGTCCACGGTCCACAAGAACCGCCACAGAACACGGCGCGTTCTTCAAAACCCTCTGGTTAACCAATCGCCAACCATGACCAACGTTTTCCGGTACGTTTCCATCTCCACCATCTTGATGATGGTGACCATGACCATGATCAACGTTCCATCGTTTGTGGAAAGGTAAAATGATCATTGTGACCCTCTTGGTCTCTGCCATGTGGCAAATGTCTTCGTGCATTGTGGGTAATGGAGAGACTGCGGTGATGGGCCGGACCGCGACCCGGCCTAGTTGCCGATAGGCTTCGAAGCCTCCTATGACGCTGCTGTGACACTCACCATGACGGTAACGGTGAACGAAAGGAAGTCCGTTTTTACGGGCTCTTTGCACCATTATGATTGACGAAGACCGTTCCGTTAGTTCCATCAGATGCATCACGAACAGCTTTAGCTGCAGTATCTGCCAAAATTATTTCTCCAAAAAACAGTTTTAGCTGATTATTTTAACTATATCAAAAGTGTGTATTTTATACGTGGAACGATAGAAATAGTACATTTTCATAGAGCATCCAATATTTCTAGATCCCATCATTGATTTAAATATAGATATTTGAAGAAAGGTGACCTTGGTGGTTCGGATGGACTCGACGAGAGAGATGAGGGAGGAGACATTGGCTGGGCCGTGGAGGCAGGCTAGGATGCGAAGCTCTTCTTTGGTTGAGCCGTCGCTCGCGGACAAGTCTTTTAATTTGCGGTGGGTGCCACGTGCCGGCTTGTAAATGGCCATTACAGTCGGCGTCGTTATAAACGTTGTGAAGAGTGCCATTAGCACTAATATTGCAAACGTCTCATCGTTTAGTACCTAGTTAAAGTCAAACCCACGTACGCACCGTTTAAATAATAACCACATACTACATTAATGATTAATGGGTATAAAGAAGATCATAAAATTTTGCTAGTGCGATCAGAAAGTGGTCTAGTGGCAGAGGAAGCTTTGGGAAAGGGTGAAACTTCCAAACCTGAGTTCGATTTTCTCTGGAAACAAAAACATATTTGTTTGGGAAGTCTGTCAGTTGGGCCTTGACCCAATTGGTTTACCTGATAGCCAGAAATGCAGGCGGCCTGACTACCCCCTGACACTTAGTCGGAAGGCATTTCAAACTCGGGATAGGCAGAGTGGTAGCCCGTAAGAGCCTAACCGTTAACACGGTGGACTAGTCCACTATGTAGCACCTCGGTGCGTTCCTACCGGAGCCGACCGGATAGCCGATAGGGTTTATCAAAAAAAAATATATATATATATATATTCGTATAAAGTTTTCATGCATGCATATGATTAGTCCTTACTCCTTAATTAAAACAATAGGAATCGCCTTTACAATAAAAAATGTAGTATATAACTATAATCTTTGCTGGGAAGACAAGTTGAAACATTTTTTCTATATACTACATATTTCTATAAGCATTATAGTCAGTGTCGGCTCAAACATATCCTAGGCCCTGGGGCAAAAAAAAAAATGGACCCCTAGTATATTAAAAATAATAATATTTATAAGATTAAAACACAAAGAAAACATTATTTAAAAAAAAATAAAGCAACAAGATCATTTTACAAAAGAGATTTAGCCTAATAAATCATTAAATTTTTTTGGAATTATTGGTCTAAAATAAATCAACTTCTAACTTGGACCCAACAAATTTGTAAAAAGAAGAATTACGTTATTCTTAAAAGGAATGCAAATATATATGGCCCATTTTTTTAATAATAATTTTCTTTTTTCTGTTATACTTGCACAAATTTTATTATTTTTGGTTACTCTTGTAAAAAAAAAAATTGTGTGGACCCCTTTTATTTGTGGGCTCCTGGTGATTGCCGAGCTCGCCACCCATGTTAAGCCGGCACTGATTATAGTATAATCGTGTACATATTAGGTTAATGTAAAAATAATTTTTTTGACTAATGACATGCTTTTGATTTATTGGATGTTTAATATGATTATGTGGACATCTTAAAAGTAGAGAAAACTCTCTCATTATATATAAAGATTTAAAATAAAATATTTATTTCGGATGTGACAAACCGAATCGCGGACTAATGTTTTGAAGCTACCATTGCTAAATGAACTGCATCATCTTCGATGTACATGATAATCCTAGCTATCAAATTGCAACCGTATCTATGATTAATGATTAAATGAAATGCAGATTTGAATTATGGTGATGACTGATGACTTAACTACAACAGTACACAAACCTATTCTATAAGTAATTTTTTTTCTATTTCCACTAAAATACAATAATTAATATAGGACTTGGAGTAGGTGGGAAGAAGCAACAAAGAAAACATTAATAATTTATCTGATCACTATATGCCGGTCAACCAACGGATTCTATTAGAGTCCATAATTTTCAGCACGTTTATAAATTCACCTAATTAAGTTCTTTTTATAGGTTATATAGTTATCCGTACATATGAACGGGTGTTTAAGGGGTATTTAACTATTTATGTTTATGGTATATGACATATTTATGTTATTTCACCAAAATTACTTATAGCTTGATCAATTTTAAAACATGTACATGTGTAAAATAGATTTTTACAGTATTTATATTTCTTATATAATGGCATAATAAGCTATTTGTTAACCTCTGAACTTATACAATTGTTGGTTATTGTTCAAATAAAACATAAGCAATTTACTATTCCATATATCCCGAACCAGCCTACCAATTGATCCAGCCGGACACATTCACATGGATCCAAGTAGAACCTAAAATTTTAAATATATCTAAACACCCTAAAACAAAGGTATGGATGCGATTAAATTAATATAATAATCGTTTTTGGTTTTATATGCTTTACCCACTTAAAATGATAAAATAACTTTAGTGTTACTAGGTTTTTTATTCTTTATTCAGCAGATAACTAAAAGCAAAAACAAGAACCTTAAAAATTCAGAAAAAAGGAAGACAAAACTAACCTTTTTCTCCTTGCCTATGTTGAGTACAATGAGCTCCACTAAACCTTTAGTATTCATCAAGAAACCAAGTGTCAAAGCCTCTCTCGCCGGAACTTTAACCATCACCGCCACAACAAAAGTTCCGACGATCTTCCCGGCGCAAGCTGTAACCACAACAAGACCCAACATCCCCCACGACTCAGCTCCTCTGATCTTTGCCACGTCAGTTTTTAACCCACTCGTCGCGAAATAAAGCGGTAAGAGTAAACCGGAAACAAAATCCTCAATCCGTTCAATTAACCTCTGACCGAACTCTCCATCTTTCGGTATAGTTAAACCGAAAACAAACGCTCCAAAAATCGAATGAATCCCAATTAAATCCGTCGCGAAACCGGAAACCATAACTCCGGCTAACGTCAAACACACGTAAGACTCACGTACGACGTCGTTTTCAGGAGATCCACGTTTCGCGACCCATTTCATTCCGGGTCGGATCACAACCAACATAAAAACCACAAACCCAGCACCCGATAATAAAACCCACAACGACACTAACGGACTCTTTTTCTCTCCACCGCCCTCACCGCCATCACCCGCTAACGCAACCGCTAAAGCGAGCAAAATCCACGCGGCTACATCGTTGAAAGCGGCTGCAGCCATCGCGGTTTCTCCGATCCGAGTAGTTAAAAGCTTGAGCTCTGCTAAAATACGCGCGAGTACTGGAAAAGCTGTGATCGAGAGTGCGACTCCCATGAAAACGAGAAACTCGGCGTATCCTGGTCTATCCGCGGCGGTGTAGAGAGTGTTACGGATCACAAACGCGACTCCAACGCCGGCGATAAACGGTAGTGTGATTCCGGCGACTGCGATTCCAAAAGCGCGTTTGCCGCTTCGTCGGATCGATGATAAATCGAGCTCGAGACCGACGAGGAAGAGGAAGAAGAGAAGTCCTATGCTCGCGACGGATTCGAGTATCGGCATACTCCATTTCGGAAATATACGGTCCATATACGCCGTGTTTCTACCTAAAGCCGATGGTCCTAACAAAATCCCTCCCTGAAGAAGAAGACGATGGCAAAATGGTAAATTAAGAGGATGATGATGGTAAAATTGTAAATAGTTTATGTGTATGTGGGGTAGAGTGTAATTTTACGTACGACAATCTCGGCGATGACTTTGGGTTGACGGAGAGGTTTGAATAAGACGGCGAGGGAGCGACTGACGGCGATGATTAACGCCGTTTGGACGATGAGTAACGGAAAAGCGAAGTTTAAGGGATTGTCGCCTTGCCATGCTCCGTTAGATGAGGTTTTCACGGCGGTTATGTTGAAGGGCATTTTGGGGATTACAAGGACTCTTATCGACGACTCTTTTTTGTTTTGTTCTCGTCTATATTTGGAACATGTGATATAGTTCATCAAGTAGGAAGCAGTTTTGTGAAGAAATTTATAGGCAAAATTATAATTGTATTGGTTTGAACTTTGAAGATTCAAAAAAGTAATTATGTTGTTGCTTGTAATTTTGGTGCATCTTTCTGCATCTCACGTGTGACTTGACCCTGAGTGGAAGTAATAATTTTGAAATAGGTTTTGGTATTTTGAAAAAAGAATCACGAAATTATCATATCTGTATATTAGGAAAACTAGTGTTTAAGGAAAACCATTTTTTTTTTATTACGTTTGTTAATTGTTATTTAGTAGAAAACTCAAAACCACTACAAAAATCTCTAGGTCTTTGAATAAAGTATAAAAAGTAAAAATCTACTCAAAAAATAATTTGTGGTAGCTATACTATAATTCAGTTTCCTCATTTTAATTCAACCAAAACCAAATAACATGAATGTAGTGTTAAATTTGGGCTAATTTTGGGCTTCTAACTAAAAACCAATTGGCAATTAGTGGATTGGCCATAACCCTTTATATATTATTAATTGTCCCATCAAACTTCCGATGTGGGACTTGGATTGTATCTCCAACAATTTCCCCTTCAATCTAAGGACCACATGGATCTTAGCACACCTCCTCGATCCCTCACTCGGACCGATAATAAGCCCCTTTCTCGGGCCCCCATTACTCGGGTTTGAGGTATGTCCGTATCCACTTTTCTAGGTCCACCAGAATTTGAACCTTGGGCTCTGATACCATGTTAAATTTGGGCTAATTTTGGGCTTCTAACTAAAAACCAATTGGCAATTAGTGGATTGGCCATAACTCTTTATATATTATTAATTGTCCCATCAAACTTCCGATGTGGGACTTGGATTGTATCTCCAACATGTAGTATTAACAAGAGAAAAAAACTCATCTCACAAACGGAAATTGCAAACTAATCTAGACTGGCTTATCAACGAAGTAGGAATCATGTGAGTCGCACGTGGGACGCGAGAGATGAGGGTTGACAAATGCTGCGTCGGCGTAGATGGGTTTTTACAAGTGCAACCAAAGTGACACGTATCCATGACTACTCATATATTCCAAACCTTTTCCGATATAAGTGTGGCAATATTTTCATTAAATAGAGCTGTTGATTTTTCCAAGAAGTGGGCATCTCTGATCTCAGTTCTGCTTGGTATTTACGACTTTCCTAACTTTTGATCTAGTTAGATTGTTCGAGCAAGTTTGAAATAAAACTGTCGGTAATAGTTATGGATTGGTTATGGTCATATATGAAAAAGAGAGTTAGATTGTCGCAAAGGACATTTAAAATTGTAGAAATAAAGGATCTGAAGCTAGTGGACTGCCTCAAAGATGCTATAAATTTTGTAATCACACTTTATTTCGACCCATTTCATCGTTAATTTATGTATATTTGTGCCGTAATTGTGTTTCCCACTCATACACCACCAGCGAATTTGGAATGATCATAAGTTAATTGATGTAACACTTTAACTAGATCATCACCCGTACTGATAATTTCATTTATTACAAAATTAATAAATTTTATGTTTTAGAATAAAGTTGTGATATATTATAATAGTAAGTAAAAAAATAGTTTTTTTTTTGTCAGTACTTATATATAATATTAGAATGAATATATTTTCCTTTTTCTATAGTATTCAATTATGAATTTTTTTTAAGATATGAAAACGAAAAATAAGATTATTTTTAAAAAAAATAATATTGTTTGAACAATGAGTTAATTTATGTTAACAACCACAAAATGAGAGTGCATATAATTTAGTTAGATCAAAAATCAAAATATCATAAATGAATCGCATCTAAAACGTAGATTGTTTTGAATTACTTAAGAAAATTAGTTATTATTTTGAATTAATTTAGGAAATTATTTTTTCAAATTCTGATTCATTGGTTGTTGAAATAAAAATTTATTTGAGCTAATTACAGAATTTACCAATTATTCACATAATAAAATATGTTATGAACAAATATTTGGTATATAATAATACCAAATTCAATCTGTGTGTGGAGTCTATATTTTCATTTTACAATCTCTATGAAAATATTGCGGCACAATCTATTATTTATTATTTTCAAAATTGCTTGCATAATCAAATTTTCAAATATTTAGAAGTGTCAAACCTTATTTAACTCATTTCATCATAAAATATTAAAATGCCGTCTGTTATAAAGATCATAACTTTCTACCATATAATTCACTACATTTAATCCGCCGTCTACTATAAATATTTTAAACATATCTTTTTAGAAAATCAAATTAATGTATTTATAATTTTGTTTTTCTTTTTAATCTATTAAATATTTATGATATATTTTAATATATTAAATTAAACTTTTTAAAAATGTTCCAAATTAAAATCTTTTAAAAAAAATTATGAATTTTTCTAAAAAATGATATGAAATTAAATATAAATATTCAAATAGTTATAAAGATCATAACTCATTTCATCATATAATATATTATATTCAACCCGCCGCTTGCAGTTTACTCTATAAAATTTTATTTCTAATGGCATTAAGTAAATTCTTACAAAGGAAAAAGTTAATTAAAGGTAATTGTAAATTGTAGTACCCAAATAATAGTATAGGATACACAAACAAATAATTTAGTGTGAATAATGAATATTTAATTTTGGATGAATTATAATCACACGGTTTTCCATTAGATGTTTTGGAGCATTAGTTAAGGATCTCTCAAATCCGATTGACGCGATAAAAAAGGGTCACCAAAAGTTATAGACTCGAAATGCATATTTTGCGATCTAACCTAATGGTCGAAATTTACTATTATGATTATTTGTCGTAAGGATCATTTTCAATGAAAAAAAACTCTTGTTTAAATTATTAAGAGTAACGTCGATCAGATTACTTTTAAAAAGTTTCCAGAGTGGGAGAATTCACGAGAATACTGATTACAAAAGAAATAACAAAAAAATAAAACTGAAAATCACGAGGCGATCGTTTTTTCATTTCCTTTTCTATGAAATAGATTTGGACCTTTCATGAAGGCAAGCCAAAAGTGCCAAACAAGTGGTCCTCCAAATTTTGAGGAACAGTTAAAGTTCTAAACATAACAAGTTTGTATTAGTATAGATATTATAAGATTCGTATATATCAGAGATCAATCAAATATGTTAAGATTAGATTCTTTACCTCTTGTATAAATATGAGAACATATTTGATTGATCTCTGATATATACGAATCTTATAATATCTATACTAATAGTTTGATCTCACCATATTTTTTACATTTCAGCTCAAAGAACTATATAACTTTAAAAGAAAAAAAAAAAAGAACTATAGAGAAGATTCATGAATCAGAACTAGTTATTGGTCGCTCGTTAGCCTCGTTTCATAGGAGTTTTATACCTTAAGTTGTAGCTCAAAGTCATATTTTGCATGTTGTTTAGATATCAAGACAAGAGCTATGCCAAATACACTTATTGTAACTAATTGTAGGAAAATAAGAATGCTAATTGTTATAATTTTGTTGCCAAAAAAAAAAAAACCTTTAGAATAAATCCTCCTAAAAACTTAAAGACAATCTTGACATTGACGAGTCACACGCCCAAATCAGGTCGGCAGAGTGAATATGTCTGTGAAATCATGGTGTTTTTAAGAAGTTGTACTGGAACTTGTGTATGAAATAGTCTATAGCAACAATAATTAAAACCAAACATTTTCCTCCACAGCTTTTGTATTTTTGTAAATCGAAAAGAAAAATGTTAATTATTCTTGGTCGACAACATCGGAAAATGGGTCGATTGGAGAAAAAAAGTAATAATTTCAGTGGCTACAGTATATAAGTACAGCGAATTGTCCTAATTAGAGAGACTATAAAATAATTCATTACACAATTTGACTTCAGTAACAACTGATTGAGAATATGTTAATGTACACTAATTTATTGACATTGATACTATTGTATATTTTCGCACAGTTATACTCACCTAGTAAATACGGTGAAGTATATGAATATTCCCAAGTTACCTTAAACTAGAAATTTTTTTTATGAATCACTTTACAAACATTCGATGATTTTAAGTCTTCGACAACGGAATTCTATTGGGCCATTAATTTTTAGCCCACAAGGCTTTACTGTAACTTATTATGGGCCCATACACAACATTTCACAAAAACTGGAATGATGACGTAATAATTTCTAGGATCTGATAAATCACACGATGCGATTTCATTTTTGAGCGAGATAAGATTTTTTTCAATTCAGTCATCATAAAACTGCGAAATTACAAATCTGAAATCCCTAGAAATCGAAGGTTATACAAAATCCGAAATTGAAATCATAACGACTTAGCCGCCGAATCCATACAAAGTCCGTCCCTGTCTCTTGAGAGCGTAAACGACGTCCATCGCCGTAACTGTTTTCCGGCGAGCGTGCTCCGTGTAAGTAACGGCGTCACGAATCACGTTCTCGAGAAAGATCTTGAGAACGCCGCGAGTCTCTTCGTAGATCAAACCACTGATACGTTTCACACCTCCTCTTCTCGCCAATCGACGAATCGCAGGTTTGGTAATCCCTTGGATGTTGTCTCGGAGAACTTTCCGATGTCTCTTGGCTCCTCCCTTTCCCAATCCTTTTCCTCCCTTTCCTCGGCCTGACATTTTCTCGAGAAAATCAAATTCAAACTTAGAATATACTTTAGTAGAAAGATTCTTTGATTTTGCCAAATCGTGTTTGATTGATAGAAATGAAATTGAGATTATTAATATACATGAGACGAGACGAGATGAAGAGTGCTTTTACAAAAGTTTAGGGAGTTGAGAGTCGTTGGATCTGATTTTATCGACGGTTGTTATCATCTATCCGCGTGATTTAAATCTAATGATTGTAAACCGTGGGATCTGTTTACTATCCGCGTTATTATGTCTGATGACATCTGAGCCATTGATACGCTATTGGTAAGGAGTGCTTTGGGAAAGTTTATGTTTTTCAATAAAATATTTGCTTGTTTGGTTACATTAATAATGGTTTAACGACCTGTGTCCCCCCACGAAATTTCATATAGTACCATAACAACACAGATTTCGGGTCTCGTCTCCAGTTCACACAAAACGAAAGTTAAACTCCAATTTCCCCCTAAATTGAAAGTTCGAGACCTCAGTCTCCATAAATTTAATTTTCGTGGTTTATCATTGGTTTAATGTGCCGAACTCGATGCCAAACCAAAACCCAGAATAATAAACCGATTTGAAACCCAATTTGAGTTATCCCAACCCGAAATAAATAAACCACTCTTAAATCATCTCTCTCGCCGAAATAAATACTTGGTCGGTTCAGTCACCGGCGGCGACCGACGAAGCTGTCGGGTTTGGGTTCGTCGTCGCCTTCAACCCAACGAGATTAAACCAACGAATCATCAAAATTTCCTAGTAATGAAGAAAATTTATGCGAATCATGTAAGACTAACAAGAAAAAAGGAAGACTTTGTTAAACTCAAATCTGTTTACAAGAGAAAAAATACTATCTTTTTGAAGACGAGATGATTAATAAACCTTAGCACAGCTCTCAATCTTAAACTCAATCGTTTGTCTCACAATGTAATAGTTTGGTTGATTTTGGTCAACGATGTTATCAATCTCGTTTAGAAAAGCAAATCGGCTTCTTGGCGTTGACCATATTCCTTTCTCTTTCTTTAGCTATGGTTGCTCTGCGTTTCTTCTTCTCCTCGTCTCTTCTTATTCTTCTTCTTCTTATCAGGCTTACCTCGACGTTTGCTAGGCCTGGGCATTCGGTTAACCATTCGGTTTTGGTTCGGTTACGTTCGGTTTCGGTTAGTTTGGATATGGTAATATAATAACCATTCGGATATTTTAAGAATTTCGGTTCGGTTCGGTTCGGTTCGGTTACCTTTCGGTTCGGTTCGGTTTGGATATTTAAATAGATAACCGTAACTAACCAAACTTTTATCACGTTCAGTTTGGTTCAGGTTTTTACCCAAATTAACCAAAATTTACCGTAACTAACCGAAACTAACCAAAATTTACCGTAACTAACCGAAACTAACCAAAATTAACCACAAAAAAATACAAAAAAGAAAGTATTAGAAAAAAATATTAAAATTTGATTCAATTTTGTAAAAGAGTATTTAACTTTGACAAATATAACAAACAATATTTGAATATTTTGATTATTTAAAGTATTTGATTATTTTGATTCTAAAAATAATTAATATTTTGAGTTTATAATTATAGTTTTGGATATTATTTTTGGGTATCTTATAGGTTTTTGGATATTTCGGTTAACCGTTTGGTTATCGGTTTGGTTCGGTTCGGTTTCGGTTAGTTTGGATAGGGGATTTTACAAACCATTCGGTTATTTTAAAAACTTCGGTTCGGATATGGTTCGGTTTTTTTTGGTTCGGTTCGGTCGGTTATTTGGTTAGCGGTTTTTTTGCCCAGGCCTAACGTTTGCTATCCAAGAAGCCACCATTGAAGACATCAGACTTGCTTTTAAGGAGAAACGACTAACATCAAAGCAGCTTGTTGAGTTGTATCTCGAAGCAATCTCCAAACTTAATCCAATACTCCACGCAGTCATCGAGAGGAATCCTGATGCGTTGATTCTAAATACTTATTTCAAGAATCCCCAAATTGAGAACTCACTGATAATTTCTTCTCCGGTGAACTTCCGACAACGATGTCCGGCGATGTTCTCGATCAGATTTACCTCTCAAACAACTGGTTTTCCGGCGAGATTCCACCTGCGATCGGTAATTTCCCCAATTTACAGACTCTGTTCTTAGATCGGAACCGATTTCGCGGGAATTTACCGAGGGAAATCTTCGAATTGAAGCATTTATCGAAGATCAACACAAGTGCGAACAACATCACCGGTTCAATCCCTACCAGAATCGGAAACATGACGAGTTTAACAACTCTCTATCTCTCTTTCAAAGATCTCTCCGGAAGAGTACCACTCGGTGGTCAATTCATGGTTTCACGATTTGTGGGAATATCGGGGTTAATGGGTCAACTAATTGGGTTGGTTTCTGGGTAAATCCGGTTTACTTTCGATGTGAAGCGGTTAATTTGGTTTTCGGCACAGTAAACCGAAGATAAACCACGAAATTTGAAATTATGGAGACTGAGGTCTCAAACTTTCAATTTAGGGAGAAACTGGAGTTTAACTTTCGTTTTGTGTGGACCGAAGACGAGACCCGAAATCTGTGTTGTTATGGTATTATATGAAACTTCGTAGGGGGACACAGGTCGTTCACCCCATTAATAATACATTGTATGTTCTTCATTGAAATTAGGTTAGTTGTGTTCAATTTGGATAAATAGTTTGGGCAAATAGGAAGGATTAAGAACCTCATTCTTTGGGGGGGGTATTCAATCAAGGATTTGAAATGATTTGTATTAAAAAGATAAATCTTACGTTATTCAAACATGAAGTTTAAAAATCTTTTTAAAATCAAGTGTTATTGGATTAGTGATTTTAAAATCTACAATCAAATCCACTGTTATTGTAAACATTTTAAATTGTGGATTTGAAATGACTTGAGTGATTTTTGGTGGGATTTCAGAGAACAACTTAGTTAAAAATTCAAATATCCAAATCCCATGGTTTTAGGTGGGATTTGGGAGAGTTTTGAAATCAAATTCCCTAATTCACCAAAATTTACCAATATCATCTCAAAACTCATTAAAACTCAAATCACTCCAAATTCTTTCTTCAATACACCCTCCCTTGGAATCAAAACTTTTAAGGTTAATGACTTTGTAGTGAGAATCTATATATACATTTTTGAATGACTTTTAGCAAATAAATCCTGGAGTTGGACCTTATTTACGGATGAATGCCATTGGCATTAATTATTTAAATTTGAAAAATATTAATTAAAGATATTACCAATACGATTTTGAGAATCATAAATTCATATCTTCCTTAATTTTCTGAGTCATTAATGTGATAATCTTTAGGAAATATTTCTCTGTAAAAAAAAAAAATCCACATTAATGAAGGCATTAAAATCGACACTAACAATTAAATTATTTAGATGTTCAATTATTTTAAGATTCTTATATCTTATTTGATATTTTTTTTTTAATATCTTATTCTTTAATTACTGCGTTTAGAATTTATTGGTTGTTACCTATTTTTTGGTGAAATTTATTGGTTGTTACTTAATAAGTAATTATGGTGCGTTTATTTTAGTTAATATCTAATTTAAAAGATTTGTTTTCTTTTATTATTAATAAATGAATAACATGTATAGAAATAAAAGATTTTTTTGCGACTCCATAATAAAAATATTAAACTCTTATTTTCTACATTTCTTACACATAATATCCTTTTATTCAATAACAAAAAATATATATTACATATTTTTAAAAATATTTATAATATTTAAATTATATAAAAAATTTGTAATATTAATATTATTTCAACTCTATACAAATTTAATATATATGTATATATATCTTATGGGAACCATTTAAAAGAAATTTTTAAATTGACTTGAATTATATAGCTTTTAAATAAAAATATTATTAAAAAGAAAAATAACTAAATAATGTTTAATTTCACGGGACGGGTAATATGATGGGACGGGTTTGGGTTAATATTTATAAAAGATCGTATACCACGGGTGAAATCCTAAAATTAACAATCAAAATAATCTATCAAACAAATTACATTTTGATTTTTTTAAGAAAATATAGCCCCGCGGTGTACCGCGGGTTAAAATCTAGTGTGTTATATGATTCAAGCAATTATGGTATTTTGAGGCTCTTAAGAGATAAGAGGACGAATAGCTTGTTACCCCAATATAAACTCATTGATGAAGCTTTTGTCTTTTCTTGAAAGAAGATGGTAACCAAATCAATTGCTCATCCTTGGTACTATTAATGGCGAGATGGTCAATTTGTAACTGATTTTATAAGGCAGCCTGATTTTTCAGTATTCCAATAAATTCAGCGGTAACAGAAAGATAATTGATTAAAAGAGCCAAATAGTTTAAACGCAGAGTCACCGGTCTGTGACAAAACACTCTTTAAATCCGATATTCTAACAAAACATAATACGAGAAGCTTAGGAATTATCATGATTTTGCAACAAGAAACCAAAACTCTTGAAGAGCGATCCCAAACTTAAGATGATGCTCACTTCTTCTTCTCAGTTGCCCCACCACCACCACCACCAGACCTGCGTGTAAGTAAACAGAGTCCCAAAAAATAGTAATTACTATAAAAGAATTGGTTTTTGAATTAAGACAGACTAAACCAACAATAAGCTTGTTCTATTGTTTAGCTGAGATAAGACTTAAGTATTCAAAACGAAACATTTTCAATTCAGTGATAGTTTCACTCCCTAATCTTTATATACTCAAAAGCCTAAGCATCTAACCAATTCATTACGTTAGGCTGTAATTCCTCAGTAAGGTCAAGATTTTGCGGAGCAATAAACTAAATAGCATTTTCCGGGTTTACCTCATTTTACGGAGAGTACTGGACATCTCCTCTCTCTTCCTCTTAGCTCTCTTGTGGGTTCCCAACTTTCTCTTAGCAACCTTAAGAGCACGCTTGTCTTTACCAACCTTCAAAAGCTCAGTGATTCTCTTTTCATAGGGAGCCATACCAGCAACTTCCTTTATCAAGTTTCTGATAAAGATTGTTCTCTTGCTCGTTTTCTGAGCAAATCAAGAAATTATCACTACCAGAATCAGATCCATTAAGCAACAAAGCAAGAAAAATGCCACAAAAATCATAACGAAATATCAAGATAACGCTATCGAATCATGTGATCAGAAAGAGAAATGAAAGCTCAAAATATGGATTATAAGAAGAACGTTACTAAACACATGGACAATAAATGAATCAATATTGCAAGAAAGCAAATGGTCTAATGAACTACACATTCACAAAGGTGAAGCATTTGGCACGCCTACACTGTCAAAGAGATAGATCAAACTATCTGAACAAACTATAGGAATCTAACATAGTCTAGAAACTAGTAAAATTGATGATACAAAACAATGTTAACGAAAGGCAAAAGAGAAACATACTCCTTTGCGAGAACGAGGACGAGGAGCTAATTCACGTCTGGTGACAACATGTCCTTTGTTCAACCCAACGAACAAACCGGTCTTCACTTGCGGAGTTGTCATCTTCTGCAAATTTCACAGACACCAAAAAAAAAAAAAAAAAAAAAAATTTCTATTCAATACAAAATTAATGTTTACAAGAAACGAATTCGTAGAAAATCAAGAGATGAAGATAGAAGATACCTTGTCTTTGGATCGAGCTCCTCCGGTGGTTCAGACGGAAGATAGACGACGACTGAAAATTGCATTTTTGTATATATACCAGAGACTAAGAAAAACCCTAGGCCTCACACAAACATTTTGGGCCTTATAAATTTTGGGACAAAATTGGGCTAGCTGCTTTGCTAACATTTTGGGCCTTTCTTTGTTTTGACAAAAAGCCGAGGCCGAGGGAGAGGGCAAAAACGTAATTTCGATAAGGAATTGAATCGGAAAACGAGGTGAGCCGAATTCGAAGCCTTTGGACCCGTTTTCAAACTTTTTTACTTGCCATTCGTTTTTTGTTTGTTTGTTCATTGGCCTCAATTTGATTCATTCTTTCTTAGATTTCTCCTTCCCTACATTTTTCTTCAGTCTGGGATTCCTCCTGCCGCGAGAACGATTTAACTCTATTTTTTCCCGGTAATTTTTTAAGAGCATAATTTTCCACTCTGGATTTCGTTATTTTGATTGACAATTGTCAGTTTCATTATCTCTTCTGTGAAATTTTGATTTTTTTCCCATCTGTAATTTCGTCATTGCATTGCCCTGCTTATTTACCTATCTAATCTTGTTGATCTTGTTTCAATATCATTTGCTTTTTCACAGATGTTCAGCTGTAATATTATAATGTATTGAATTGATAACGTGATTCTGGATCTTGAATATATATATATATATATGTCACATTCTTCTTAGGATTTGATTTTGTCTCTCTAGGATATTAATATTCTTGAAAATGAATTCTGTTTATTATAATGTTTTTGTTTAGATATATTCCTTACTGGCATTTTTTTTAGCATAGGTATGAAACATAGCATTGATTGATTTACGTTTTATAATTGTTCTTGTTTATGCCAAATTGGTCTTATGTTTTTTTTTTGTTTGTTTGTTTGCAGAAAGTAGAAAATGGCTGATGGTGAAGACATTCAACCCCTTGTCTGTGACAATGGAACTGGAATGGTTAAGGTATTTCTAATCATGAAGAATCATTTTTGTTTTCAAACTGGGATTCAAAAGTTAATCTGTTTCCAAATCCTAAACTTAGTCCACGTATCTGTTTAAATCCTTAGATGATGAGAGCATCGCTGAACCATAGAAAATTTCAATACTTTTTTTATCCTATGAACAATGTAGTTAAGGTGGCTATGTTTTGTGTTTCACTTAAGGCTGGTTTTGCTGGGGATGATGCACCGAGGGCTGTGTTTCCAAGTATTGTTGGCCGTCCTCGCCACACTGGAGTGATGGTGGGAATGGGACAGAAGGATGCATATGTTGGCGATGAAGCTCAATCCAAGCGTGGTATTCTAACCCTTAAATACCCAATTGAGCACGGTATCGTCAATAATTGGGATGATATGGAAAAAATCTGGCATCATACTTTCTACAATGAGCTCCGTGTTGCTCCCGAGGAGCATCCCATTCTACTCACTGAAGCACCTCTTAACCCAAAGGCTAACCGTGAGAAGATGACTCAGATCATGTTTGAAACCTTTAATGCTCCTGCCATGTATGTCGCCATTCAAGCTGTCCTGTCACTTTATGCTAGTGGCCGTACTACGGGTAAGTCCACAACTTGATAGGCCTTTATCCTGAAGATTCAAGACCATGTCTTAAATATTGTTGATTTATGATGTAGGTATTGTGCTCGATTCTGGAGATGGTGTGAGTCACACTGTCCCTATCTATGAGGGTTACGCTCTTCCGCATGCCATCCTACGTCTTGATCTTGCAGGTCGTGACCTGACAGATGCTCTGATGAAGATCCTCACTGAGCGTGGTTACTCTTTCACCACAACAGCTGAGCGTGAAATTGTCAGAGACATCAAGGAGAAGCTTTGCTACATTGCCCTTGACTACGAGCAGGAGCTTGAGACGGCTAAAACCAGCTCTGCTGTAGAGAAGAACTATGAGTTACCTGATGGGCAAGTGATCACCATTGGATCTGAGCGGTTCCGTTGCCCAGAGGTTCTTTACCAGCCATCTATGATCGGTATGGAGAATGCTGGTATCCATGAAACCACCTACAACTCCATAATGAAATGTGATGTTGACATCAGAAAAGACTTGTATGGTAACATTGTGCTCAGTGGTGGAACAACTATGTTCCCTGGAATTGCTGACAGAATGAGCAAAGAGATCACTGCTTTGGCACCGAGCAGCATGAAGATCAAAGTCGTTGCACCGCCAGAGAGGAAATACTCTGTCTGGATTGGAGGATCCATCTTGGCCTCCCTCAGTACCTTCCAGCAGGTAACTAATGAATCAATTTCCTTTCCCTAAACCATATAAGTCTAGTCTGCAGCTGTGACTGATCAGTCTTCCGTTCCTAATTGTAGATGTGGATCGCAAAGGCAGAATATGATGAGTCAGGCCCGTCGATTGTTCACCGGAAATGCTTTTGAGTTTGAAGTTAAGTCTGCTTCCGGAGAAGCCCTGTGGGTTTTCCAATTTATCCTTACTGGGTTTTTATCTTTGTTCTCTGCTGTTCTTTGTTTTTGTTCTTCAATATTTTCAGATTCTGGCCTAAGACATTTTGAAGAACTTACATTATCTGTTTGTAGTTGTGGTTAAAAGTGTTGTCTTGTTCCTTTTATTTCTGTTGGATAACACAACTGTGTTTGAGTGAATAAGAACACCTAATTTTCCTAAGTTTAGAAGGCTTATTGGATAATCTTCTTAATATACTCTAGCTCTAATCATGATCTGTTGTTATTTCATTGTTGATTTTGTGTAATGCTACTAACTCAGTTGTTACAGTGCAACGAAAGAAGACAAGTTTCATCAGTGTTCATAAATCAACAGGGCTAGTGAAACGATATGGTCAGTTCATCGACCTAGTTGTGGTCATCGTCATTATAGTATAACTTGATAGAAATTTTTGTAAATCACGTCATCAAACTTATCAAATTGTTAAATGATTAAAGAAACCACACCTACATTGCCCCCTACATAATTTACAGAGTATTACATCTATAAAGCACGAATGAAACACAGCTGGCAGTTTTTGTTCTTGGGACTAAAGTCGGAGCACACAGATTCTTACAAAGGAAAGGCGTGTGAGCAAAAACTCTGTCAACATATATTTATGTATATTCCATTGGTGGCGTCATGTGATCTTGGTTTGAGGATCAGACCAATCTATCTTCGTGTGTCAATGTTGTTGCAAAACCTTCAAAAGCTCATGTCTGAAAAAGCTTCGAAATGAGCTTTACAATGGAAGAGCTGGGCGTTGTCGGACAACATTCAACACCCCCCTTGCAGTTGCCTGTTACCAGGAACAAGAGACAGTTATTAGAAGCTCCCATTGGGAAAAACTTAAATCTTCTGATTGAAATCATTACCTCGTAAAAGGAATTGAAATTTAGGCGTAAAAGAAAACGTCTCAAGAACGGGGCTCTCTGGCTCCCGGCGAGTTTGCTGCTTCTCAGTATGGTGTACAAGGAATTCGACTTCTTGTTGAATTCCTTAGAACCGCAAGAAAGCAAAATTGTGAGACTTTCACCTATGTATGGGTGTTATAGTGAAAAGATAACGCACCTCAGCTATGTTTTCAAGTTCCGAAGTGTTTGGATTGTTTTCTTGACTCTCAATGTTCCAGCAGAACTGGAGACAGAGTTTCATTATGCTATCGAGTATCCTTGAGACGGAACCAATGTCAAGGAAAGATTGTGAGATAAGAGCGGAGAGATACCTGCATTTGTAAAGTAAAGTAGGTAAGTAGAGGTACAGGCATAAAAAACCAAACCGAAAAATTACTGAAAAAGATTTCGGTTCAGACTTGTTTCACAATATAGCGAAAATCAAATCGAGAACCAAACCAAAAGATTAATTGCCCAGGCCAAGTAAGTAGCATGAAGACTCTTGAAAGAGAACAACAAGCACTAGATATACTTACTCTTGATGGAAGCCAACGAGTTCAGTGAAATCTTGAGAATCGTGGATGTGAGTTTGCAACACCTTCCATTGAGATTCTATCACGTCAACCTTAAGACAAAGAGAGAATCAAACCATAAGACGTTTTTTGTTTTACAAACTGCCTTGTGACCAACTTTGAAATTCTTATGAGACGTCGTAGATTTTCTTTACCTGAATGTAAAACTGAAGATTCCTTATCAGAAATGCCATGTGCTCTCTAACACGCCACATGGGTCGTATTCCTTGTCTTCTTTGTTGAGATGTTGATCCGTTTATACCATCTTTCCGATGTTGAGCAGATTCTATATGATCTTGATGCATTACAGAAGCCCATGATTTCTCCAATTCCATCTGAGTTCTCTTTAGCCGTATCAAATATTGGAACACCTTGAGATACCTAGCACAAGTTTATAGCTCTCAGACAAAGCATCAAATATTGTAAGATCCAGCAAACAGCCGACTAAAAAGTTCATAGTAAAATCGATGCAAAAACTTGAAAGTGAGAAAAATTGGAAGAAAAGGAGGATATAAGCAATGCCCAAGGATTATTACTTAGAAAGCACTTCTTGAGTGAAAAACAGTTGCATGGGCCAATCAACAGAATACTCCAACGCAATAGCGTCCCAGCCATCCACAGAGGTGTCTGATGTAAGATTTGCCTTCCCGGCGAGAGATACTTTAGATCTCGCCATGTCAGCTTGAGAAGATCTGACTGTGACTCCAAATGACGGCATCCTGGTGAGAATAGCAGTTAAACAGCCTAACTAAGGAACAGTTGGGAGAAGTAATTATTAATATGTGCGTCCCACTTAGCTCAAAGGCTCGAAACTAAATCCATTAATACAAAGTCGTTAAAAAAGAATTTGATGTGTTACTAACCGTAGGGATACCCTAGAGAAATACTTATCTTCCTCCGCAATGGTTTTTGTTGCAGCCTGTGTGTTCCCAAAGAGAGAACATTACAAAAACAATTTGACCTGAACAGAACTTTTTATCATGAAATTGTTTAAGTTGTAACCACATACCAACTGAAACGGTACCATAAGATCAGATTCTCCAGTTGACTGGCGAGGTGGCAAACGCATCAACTGACGACTCTCCTCCAGAAAGCACTGAAATCAGAAAGTCTATGAGATGTGAAATTACATATCCACAGATCTT